GTAATTCCAAGACAAGCTATTTAATACCCTCCGGTTTTTTTACATTGTATGTTTTATGTTTCTTAGTACTTCTAAGGCAAGTTATTTACCTTGTATTGAATACTGTTACGCCTCAGATCACAGTAGTGGCCATGAATTCTTTTCACTATTGTCTATCTGAAAATCATTTTTTCACACCAGTGAATCTAAACGATAATCTTGCTTGCTGAGTAGCCTTAGTTTGGAGTGGCATTCATTCAACACACTGAGACATCACACCATCCCCCACTGGTCTACAGAGTTTCACTTAATCGAGTGCTTTGTTATGAGTTTGACGGGAAAGCCCCTTTATGTAAAACTTTGGTCTGTTCTTGATGACTTTAGGATGTTATCTCTACCTTTGGTTCTTGCCATTTTAATTACAGTGCGTCCTGGCATCCATCTGGGTGCAGTTTATTTGGACTCTGAGAGTCCTGGTTCTATATCTCTGTCCTCATATAGGAAAGCTGTTTTTTCTTCAATAATTCTCTTTCTCCTTCTGGAACACCTAAGACGTGAATGTTGTTCCTCTCGATGATGTCCCCAAAACTGCTTGTATTTTCTTTATTTTTAAAGTCCTTTTATCTTTCCTTTTTGATGATTTCTTTTACTTTATCCTATGCTCAATAATTCAAGCTTTGACTCCATTTGTTATGCATCAGAGCCGCTATAGTGTGTGTGTGTGTGGGGGGGGGGGGTTCTTTTTGTGTTTATTGTTGTTGAACTATTCTATCCCCAACTCAATAATAATTAAGTCTAGATTTTTCTCAGTTTTTCTCCGACTTTCTCTGTCCTTGTTATAATTATCTTCTACTGATTTGCTCATTTAATCAGTATCATTAGAACTGTTGCCTTGGAGTTTTCATCAGGGAATGTACAACATTTGGATATGCGTGGGATTTTTTTCTGGACTTTTGTTTTCAATGACCAATGAAGGTATATTCCTACATTTCTTCATTATGTCAACCACCATGGGTCAATTTGGCGTATCCTTCTGAGTATAAGCCAAACTGGGTGGCAATGGGGAACTCACCGTCACAAATTCCAGGCAGACTGTGGCTTTCAGTTTGTTTTGACCTGGACCACTAGGACTTACAAGTACCCTCAAACACTGGATGGTGCCCAGAGCTAAAACAATTCCTTGTCCCAGCACTGTACCACTGTAGCACTGTCCTCCTGTTGTTCATTGATTTGCCCAAGAGGGGCCCAGTAACGTCTCCACTGTGAGACTTGTTGTTACTGTGTTTGGCATATCTAATACATCATGCGTGACTTGCCAGGCTTTGCCCTGCAGGTGAAATACTCTCAGTAGCTTGCCGGGCTTGTCCCAGCAGTGGGGGAAAAAAAAGAAATGTATAAAATTGTGCACCACAGATTTGTTCCTGAAATTGCATAAGTAGAATTCTATAATTGAACCACTGCATCACTGTAAAGTATATTTGGGCTTACAATTTTAATTTCATTATAAATTCTTGAAGGCTGGAGTGATAGCACAGCAGGTAGGGCATTTGCCTTGCAAGTGGCCAACAGGGCTGACACGAGTTCGATTCCTCCACCCCTCTAGAGAGCCCCATTGTGTGATTAATGTGTGATCACCCAAGAATAGTAGAGATGAATACCAGGAGGATTTCTGCACGGCTTGGAAGCCAGCCTCACGTGCTGGAGGGAAAGGCAGCTCAAATAGAGAAGGGACCACCAAGTATGGGGTGCTTGGAGGGCCCGCTCAGGATGGGAGATGCGTGCTGAAAGTAGACTACAGACCGAATGATGGCCATTCAATACCTCTATTGCAAACCACAACACCCACAAGGAGAGAGAGAGAGAGAGAGAGAGAGAGAGAGAGCGCAAAATGCCCTGCCACAGAGGTGGGGTGATATGGGGGGATGGGGTGAGGGTGGTGGGAGGAATACTGGGATCATCGTTGGTGGAGAACGGGCACTGTTGAATGGATGGGTACTCAATCATTGTATGACTGAAACATAAGCAGTTTGTAAGTCTGAAACTACCCCATGGTGATTCATTAAAAAAATTAAAAATTAATAAAAATAAAAATAATAAAGTGGTGGCTGTGGGGAGTCGGAGGGGCTAGAAAGGCAGAGGGAGAGACAGAGTTCTGGGCAGAGAGTTGGAGAGAGCTGGGGGAGAGTTACAGAGAGAGAGAGTTGTGGAGTGAGGGGCAGAGTTGAAGAGAGTTGTGGCCAGAGGTAGAGAGAGTTGTGGGGAGACTTGGAGAAAGTTGTGGAGAGAATTTGGGAGAGACGAGAGACGGAATAAATGGCAGTTGATCACCAACCAGCTTGGCCCTTGTTCCTCCTTCGTCCGCCTGGGAAGGGGAGCGGTTTGAGAGCACCAAATGTGGGTGGCGAGAGAGAGCCGCCTGGAGAGCCTGCAAACAGCCATTAATGTGTGATCACTCCTAGCGTCACCTGAGCAAAAGGAGTTTACACACGCATTCTTAACGTATTATGTTTTAAGGCACTTGGCCTGTCCCTACTTGATGTCAGGGTAGCTTGCAGCCTGTCCCTTCTCGATGCCTGGGTAGTTTATAGCTTGCCCTTGGTCCATTCAAGTTCCTTGTCGGGACCCTCCTTTTGGGGTATTAGAAACTCAGGGCAAATGAGGCTTAAGCAATATAAATATGACAGATGCCAAGGAGTAAATATTATTCAGAGTCAATTAACTCCCAAGTTACAAAAGCATATCACTGTCTTCCCTCCGTCTCTACAAAAAAGACATTGTTCTAAAGTAAACTATGCAAAGGACAAAAAGAACGAGCAAAGCAACATTTCTCTTGCATATACAAATTCCAGGAGAAACTGACTTTACAAGTCACAGGTCTGATTTGGGGATATAGATGATTAACAGATAGGGGAGGCAGAGTACATAAGAGAAGTTAAAGATAAACAGAGGAATGGTAGTGCTTCAGGGAGCACTGTGACGAGTATTACTCAATAAACTTAAGCGCCCTGCAGTGGGGAAGAAAGGACAAGCCAATGTTATCCAACACCTCCCCTTTTCTATTTGCAAAATGCAAAAACTTGAAATTTCAGCCTGTCCCTGAACCCAGAACAGTGCTTATTTTAAAGTGTCTAATCATTGGTCAGTGTCACAGTTGAATGAGCCCTGCACTATCTAGAGGTAGAGAAGAGTCATTTTGCCACGTTTTGATGAAATCATGCATCTGAATCTAGGTTTGAGGAGCTGTTCCTGCAACATCGGAGGTAGTGGTCCCAGTAATAAATCCCAGGGCAGCAACTCTTAGGAGTCCAATGAACTTCAGGGAGCCCTGGAGAAAGTGCCATGACCTCTGTCACGAGTCATGCATCAGGGGAACACTGCCATTCTCTAGTCAGGTTCACTGGCAAGGAAGGAAGGAAGGAAGGAAGGAAGGAAGGAAGGAAGGAAGAAAGGAAGGAAGGAAGGAAGGAAAAAGTGAGTCTTCATATGACTCAGCAATTCCACCTCTTGGTATCTACCCCAAGTGCACTGTTACTATTTTGAAAACTTTTGCATTCCTACATTCATTGCAATTATTCACAACAGCCAAGAACCCCCTGGAAAAAAATCCAAGTGTCCAAGAACAGATGACTGGATAAAGAAACTGTGGTATATGAAGTACTACTTAGTATAAGAAAAGGTGCAACACTGCAGTGAGTTGCAATGTGGTTGGATGTGAAGCATATTTGGTGAACTAAAGTGAGGCAGAAGGAGAGGGCCAACTATCTCATACAGTGGAATATATAGAAACACAGTGCGGGAATAATAACAAACCCTAGAATCAGCCTACAGAATTCTTTGTCATGGGGATCAAGGGTGAAAGGGGGCAGTGGACGGGGACCCTGAGAGTTAGTAGAAGGATTTGGGCATTTTAGTGGCCACTGTGGTATTGGAACCTTGTATGCCTAAAAATATTATCAATGGCACTGTAAATCCATCATGCCTAAATACAAATTGGAAGAAAAATTAAAACTAAAAAAATGACAAAGTAACTTATCGGGACTCTGTTTACCCCCATCCCACTCTGCCCCCTAATTGAACAAAACATTTTTTCTCTTAGAAGGCAAAGCTCTAAAATTCCTGTCACATTCTCCTTACAACTTGGCAATAGACAAAGCTCCGTAACTTATAACCAAAAGAACCAGATGATTATCCCTGGTACCTCTTTATTCTGAAGACTGAGGCTAAAGCCCATTTCTCCCTGCAAAAATAACAGGGATTCAACGAAGTGCTGACTCGGTTTCAAATGTACATACCCTTACTCATACACGTCTGATGGATGTGACCACCAACTATGCATGCATTACACTCTGCAGTAAAATGGGAAGCAGAACACATGCCTGCTGCCTTTTTGAAACCTGGACATGGGGGAAAAGAAGTTATCGTGCATGGGGCCTAAACGCTAGCTTCGGGGTGAGACCCGTGCTTGGCACACAGGAGGCCCCATACCACTGCCGCTTGGTGTGTGGTCCCCAAGCGCCGCCAGGAACGGGCCTCGAACAATAGTTCCTGAGCACTGCTGGGTGTGCTGCTCCAGCCCCAGCCCCACTCACATACCACACAAATGGGCGGAACAGACCAAGGGCACTTGTCTTGGGAAAGATGCCCACTCCACGGGCAGGCACGCACGGCAGGAGGACATGCCACTGCAGGGAGTGGCATCTCTGGCATGTCCCGCTGGGGCCCCACTAGTCATTTGCTGCCTCTCCCTTCTTCGGGAAGATGTGAAAAATGAAATCAGCCAGCACCAACCCCATCAGTCAGAGGCCCAGGCCGCCCCAAGAGCCTTCTGGAAACGCGGTGGAACGGCCGGGAAGCGCGGGAAGCGGGGCACAGCCACACGCCTGCCCTGCAGTTCTCGCGAGAACGCCGGAGAGTCGGTTGGGTGCCCAGTTGCTGCTCTGTCCTGCCAGGCGGCAGCTCCGGGCTGCAGGCAGCCGCGGCCGGCGGTTAGGGGGCCCGGGAGGCCCGCTGGGTCACCGGGGATGCCGCCCCTCCTTCGCGCCTGTCTGCTCTGTCTCTGTCTCCTGCTGGTTCGATTCTCCCGGGAGCAGACCGAAGTGAGAGAAGCCCGCAAACTGTGCGGCAGGCACCTGCTGAAAGAAATCGTCAAACTCTGCGGCAGCTCTAACTGGAGCAACCTGGAGCTAAAGCACACCCCCACCACACGGCTGTTTCCCCAGGTCGAGGAAAGCGTCACCCCGAGCCAACTTGAAAGCCCCCACACCACTTTCATGGTCTGGGAGAAGGACAGCCCCTCAGGTAAGAACCTGAGCCCAGGGCGTTGTACGTTTATCACTGGACAGTTCTGATCCTGGAATGGGTTCTGCTAAAGAGCAAGCTTCCCCAGCAGATGGCCTTAGTGTCTGGCAGAGAGACAAAAAAATTTTAAATGTATGGCAGATACAGAAAACCTCTCTTAGGAATCCCTACAGACAGACAGACAGACAGACAGACAGACAGACAGACACACACACACACACACACACACACACACACACACACACACACACACCCCTTTTAAACTTAGAAGAAATATGCCTACACATAGACGACTACATCTGAGGATCCTTTTTCAGCTGTCAGGAGAGAGCTCAAAGCATGCATTATGACCTGGTTCGAAACAGGCACCCATGAACCCCCAGCAATTCTGGGTATAGTCTTGGAGGCCTCACCCAGTTGGCTTTAGTGATCCCCACCCGGGTAGAGCAGCTCTACATCTAGGACCCTAGCTTTGAGTCATCCAGACTTAGTGTCTCTGGGAGGGGGACCCCCTGGTCCCCACGGCAATGCTTGGAAGTCCCCCCACCCATCAAAGTCTGCACCAGAAGAAGGCTGCTGCTTCCCTACTTTTCTAGAATATTGGCAAAATCCCATTTTGCCCTTCAAAACTTAAACATATTCCCAGTAAAGTCTTCACTAAAATGTTCTCCTAGACAATCTTTTCCTTCTCTGTTCTACTACAGTTTCTAAACACATAGTTCCATTCTGGGCTGGAGCGATAGCACAGCGGGTAGGGCGTTTGCCTTGCATGCAGCCAACACGACCAACCTGAGTTTGACTCCTCTGCCCCTCTCAGAGAGCCCAGCAAGCTACTGAGAGTATCGCGCCCGCCTGGCAAAGCCTGGCAAGCTCCCTGTGACGTGTTCGATATGCCAAACACAGTAACAACAAGTCTCACAATTTGTTGTGAGATGTTACTAGTGCCCGCTTGAGCAAATCGATGAACAACGGGAGGACAGTGGACAGTTCCATTCTACTGTCACCAGGACCAGTAACATGATTGGTCAGATATGCAAGATAAAAAATAAACAAGCAAAGTCAATAAGGGTCTCTTGTTCAAAACAAAAACAGGAATTGTCATATAAAGGTACTAACACCGAAAAAAAATTCCTATCTCTGTTCACACTTGCTCCATTGTCCCATCAAACTTCACATAAAGGGTTCCAGATTTATCAGTCTTTTTTACAAGTTCAGAGATAAAATTGAAGATTTCAACAGTCCTGACAATATTATATTAAACCAATTGCTGTGTCCTTCTAATCTCTGTGGCTGCACAAGTCTCATTTCCTTATGGCCAAGCCCTTATCAGGTTGTAGGGACTCGTGTGTGTTTTTATCTGAAACCCTAGCAAGATGACTTAGCATACAGTGTGCTTAGGGTACATTGATATTATACTTAATGCTTTTAAGCAGTATTTAGGAACTCTTTTTCCGTTGGATTGTTATCTTCCATGTTCTGTTTATGGGTTTTCCTAGCATCACTAAAATTATTTGTTGCCTTTTAAAGTAGTTCATTTTAGTTCATTTAGGGTCTGGAGCAAAGGTATAGATAGCAGGGCCTTGCTTCACACCAGGTGATCTCCCGAGCCTATCAGGCATGATTCTTGAGTGCAAAGTCAGGAATAAGCCCTGAGCACCACTGGGTGTAGCCCCCCTCAACAAAAAAGGTTTATTTAATTTGGAAGTAACTTACAGAAATACAGTAAGGACTGACTTGTCTATGCCTGTGCTTCTCAACCTTTGACCCCTTGATTCTGGTCCTCTTATGATCATGTTTTCTTCCTGTGGCCCCCATGTCCTACTGATTGGCCCCTAGTCTCCTTTGGTAACCTCTGTTAATGCACATTTTACCTGTGGGCCCAGTCAAACATCCTGGGGATTCACCAGGGTCTATATATGGTTTACAATTGAAAAATTGTGTCGTTAAAGAGACTTTGAGGGAGATTACTAAAACAAACTAGAAAGGTTCTTAGTACTTTGTAGGAATTTATCAACTTCTTTCCTTATTTTTTTACACCACAGTCATTAATTTGTTATTTGTTCAAAGGCTCATACTGCAAGCACTAAGCCAGTGAGGGCTTTGATTTTGGGGTGCCCCAATTTCACATGTTTAGGAAGATACAAGCTGACTGAGATGCATGTACATGGATGGAAACTAAAGGCACTGAGTCTGTCACAGCATCGCCTGCACATTTCTATAGCCTGGCAGCCCGCAGTCACAGGTCTTTGAGGTCCTTCTGCATGTTCCACAGGGTATCAGCGCTTTTCTAGAGTTGTGCCACCTCATCATTCTTCAGCTTCTGGTTGATAACACCGGTCAAGCCTCGAGCATTCAGGATGCAGGGAAGGCTCAGGAAGACTTTGTTCTCAGTGCCATACATTCCCTTCGCCATGGTTGATAAGGGGTGAATCCGGGACTCTTGAACATGGTCTCAATGAGATCAGCCATGCTCAGTCCAATCAAATTTACACAATAGTGAAGGAAGATAATAAATATAAATTATACAGTAAGTTCTTTATGCTTGCTCTTCTTCTCGCTCTTCTCCTAGCTCTTCTTCTAGCCAGTTATTCCCTTGTGTTTACTATGAATTTATTTAATTTATATAGTATATACTACATATATTATATAAATTCAATTTAATTTATAGAAATTTATTCAAAATTTTTATCACAAGAGTAATCAGTTGTTCATTTTAGATACCACAAATATGTTCTGCAAGTCTTTGATATATCTATGGGTGTTATTCACAGAAAGTCTTCCTTTTTAGGCAGTAAATGTTTTTGTTTATTGCCTATACTTTGAAATTTTGCTTTAGAGGTTCTTTTTTGTCCCCCTGTTAACTTTGTTTTAATTCTCATATTAAATCCTTAATGTTCTAGTGTAAACTTGCTTCTTTCATGGAAAAGTTTTCTTATTGTCTGCATTATCCCCCTTATAGCAGAATATGGTACATATTATCCAGAGTCGTCCTATATATCAAAGCAACCCAATTCACTTTTCCCTCCAGTGTCTTTTGTTATTACACATTTTAAGTGATCAAATATCTTTATCTATATATCTATACATATATATCTGCTTAATAAATGACTTTCTGTAGTTTCTTTACAATCATTCCTAAATTTTTAATGCTTAGGCATTCAAATTTTGTTGTTTTTTGAGCCACACCTGGCAGTGCTCAGAAAACACCCCTGGAAGTGCCTGGGGGACTGTATGTAGTCACAGGGACATAATCAGGATTAACTGCATACAAAGCAAGCACCATTATGCCTAAGCTATTTCCCTAAGCCCCGAGGCATTTGTAACAATATAAAGTTATTATAATACTGGAATAGAGTTATAACTGCAACCCCAAAGTTGCATAACTTTAATGGGAAGTGAGGAAGAATTAAAATTAAAAAATAAACCAAGAAAGTCCATGGGATCACATCTGTTCTAAAAATCATCTCTATTCAACCCCATTCCCATCCCAGTCTCCCTCTTGGAACTGCTCCTTTTTAAAAAATTTATGTCCCTTTTGTACTTTAACATGTCTTGAAAGATCTCAGAGCAACTTTCTTTCAGTTTTGACTCTCATCTTTTTCTCTTGACTCTTTTTGGGGGGCGCTGAGGGTGGGAAGTGGGGTGCACATTGAGCTGTGATCAGGGTTTGCTCCCAAATCTGTGTTCAAAAATAATATCTGACAGTTCCCAGGGGGTCCTATGGGGTGCCAGAGGTCAAACCCAGATTGGCTTCATGCAAGGAAAGCACCTTACCCACTGTATTATCTCTCAAGTTCACTTCTGAATCCTTAGTTCTAATTTCAAAGAGAGGACATTTTTTTTTAATTTTTTTTTTTACAGTTGTAGATTTACAATTTTTTGTGCTTGGGTTTCAATTATACAATGATCAGATACCCATCCCTCCACCAGTGCCCGTTTTTCACCACCATGGATAATATCCCTCCCACCCCCATCCCCCCATCCCCCCCTGCCTCTGTGGCAGGGCAATCCCCTGTGTAAAGAGAGGACATTTTACTGTGCTGTGAGTATATTTTTCATAGACTCTTTTGTGTGTACACATATGTATTTAATAGAATCACTGATATATACAGTTACAAAATTGTTCATGATCTATTTCAGTCATACAATGCTCCAACACCCATTCATATGCATTACTTTACATCGTTTAAGCACTGTTTTTGTCCAGAGTAATCATTTCCAACTATTATTGTCATAGTTGTCTATTTTCAGTCCTAAATACACTCCCATTCCTCCGTGGTGGCATACTTCCTACATGGACCAGTCCTCCTGGCCCTTGTTTCTACTATTTTGGGTATTATTCACGTACTATTTTTTTAAATATTCCACAAATGAGTGTAATAATTCTATGTTTGTTTCTTTCCCTCTGACTGATTTCACTTACCATTATACTCTCCATGTTCATCCATGTATAAACAAATTTCATGACTTCATTTTTCCTAACAGTTGTGTAATGTTCCATTGTTCAGACATACCATTATTTCTTGATCCACTCATCTGTTCTTGGGCACTTGGATTTTTTCTGGATTCTGACTATTGTGAATAGTGATGCGGTGAATGTAGGAGGGCTGATGGCCTTTCAGCATTGTGTTTCAGGTCCACTGGGTATATTCCCTGTTGTATTCCTGGGTGGTAAAGAAGCTCAAGTTCTAGTGTTTTGAGAGCTGTTCATGTTGTTTTCCAGAAAGGCTGGACCAATAAGCATTCCCACCAGCAGTGAATCAGGGTCCCTTTCTTCCCACATCCAAGCCAGCACTGGTTGTTCTTTTTGATGTGTGTCAGTCTCTGTGGTGTGAGATGGTATCTCATTGATGTTTTGAAGTTCCACCAGTGCCTTATATATCTTGGTTATTAACCCCTTGTCAGAGGAGTGTTGGGTAAATAATTTTTACCATTCCAAGGGCTGTATTTGTATTCTGGTCGTATTTTCTTTTGAGGTGCAGAAGCTTCTTAGTTCAATGTGGTCTCATGTGTTTACCTTTGCTTCTGCATGCTTGATCAGTTGTGTTTCATTCTTGAAGATGCCTTTAGCTTCCATGTCATGGAGAGTTCTGCAGTTCTGCTTATGTTTCCCTTTAAGTACCTTACAGATTTATGTCTGAGAATAAGGTCTTCATTTTCATTTGATTTTAGTGCATGGAATTAGAAAGAGGTTTTTGAGTTTAATGTTTTTGCATGTGGCTGACCAGTTTTCACAGAACACTTACTGAGATGCTTTCCTTGCTCCACTTTATATTTTGCTCCTTTATGAAAATTAACTGATTATATACCTTAGGGTCTGTCTCAGGATATTCAAGTCTATTTCACCGATCTGAGGGTATGTCTTTATTCTAATACCATGCTATTTTAATTACTACTACTTTGTAGTACCGTTTGAAGTTGGGGAAGGTGATGACTCCTATCTTCTTTGTACCAGGGACTGTTTTAGCTATTTAGGTTTTAGTGTGTGTTTGTGTGTGGGGGGGAGGGTAGGGGGTTTGGTATTGTGTCATACAAATTTCAGGAGTGTTTGATCTATTTCCTTTTAAAATGACATGGGTATCCTTATAGGGACTGCATTAAATCTGTAGAATGCATTGGGAAGTATTGCCATTTTGATGATATTAATCATTCCAGTCCATGAGCAGGGGATATGGTATCACTTCCTCAAGTCCTTTTATTTCTTGAAGTGGTGTTTTGTAATTTTCTTTGTATAGGTCTTTCACCTTTTTAGTTAAGCTGATTCCTAGGTGTTTGATTTTCTGAGGCACAATTGTGGATAGGATTTTTTAATATCTCTTTCATTTCATTATTTTGTATATAGAAAAGCCATGGACTTTTGCATGTTAATTTTACATCCTTCCACTTTACTATACAAATTGATTGTCTCCAGGAGCTTTTTTGTAGTCTTTAGGGTGTTCTAAATGTAGTATCAGTGCAAATAGTGAGAGCTTGACTCTTCCTTTCCTATCTGGATGCCCTTGACATGTTTTTCTAGCCTAATTGCTATGGAAAGTTCTTTCAATCCTATATTGAATAGAAGTGGCAAGGAGTCTGGGATGATAGCACAGTGGGGAGGGTGTTTGCCTTGCACACGGCTGACCCGGATTTGATTCCCAGCATCCCATATGGTCCCCTAAGTACTGCCAGGGGTAATTCCTGAGTGCAGAGCCAGGAGTAACCCCTGAGTATTGCTGGGCATTACCCAAAAAGCAAAAAAAAAAAATGGTGAGAGTGGGAAAACTTGTCTTGTGCTTGATATTAGAGGATCTAAGATCAGAGGGAAGCCTTCCTTCTAAGATCGGGAATCTTCGCTCTAAGATCAGGCCTCTGGTACCACATATGACCCCCCCGTCACTAAGAACCAACAGAAATGGTCAGAGCCAGAAAAAAATCCTGAGCACTGCTGGGTGTGGACCCCAAACAAACAGAAACAACAAGGGATACTACTTCACATGCCTAAGGATGATTATAGCCAAATATGAAAAAGAGAAAATGATGGTAAGGATATATGCAATTGGAGCACTACTATGGCATCAGAGTGATTGTAAAGGGATACAATTGTTGTGGACAGATTTGTTTCTTCAAAAAGTTAAAATTGTAATATGATCCAGCAACTCAACTTCTAGCTATATAACTATGAAAACTGAGAATATATGTTTACACAAAAACATACATATGAATGTTGATTGCAATGTTATTTTATGTTTTGGCAAGAGGAAGAGGGAAAGGCCTCTAATAGTTTCAGGGTTTCTTTTTCGAGTATTAGAAAATGTCCTAGGGTTAGACATTGGCAATGTTTACACAACTTTATAAAAACAGCTGCCTAATTGTATACTTTAAAATTCTGAGTTTGGGCTGGAGTGATAGTACAATGGGTAGGGTGCTTGTCTTGCATACAGCCAACCCAAGTTAGATTCCCAGCATGCCAGATGGTTCTCTAAGCCCATAGCCAGGGGTAAGCCCTGAGCACTGCTGGATACTGCCCCCAAACAAACAAAAAGATAGAATTTTATGGCATATTAATGATAGCTAAATAATATTTTTGCATTAACAAGATGAAACTACTTCTGAGCCTTTTAAAGAAAGCACCACCTTTCCTGTACAGCTATATTGCTGTTGAGCAACTTTTATTATTTAGATTGTTATTGTTTTTAGTAATTAGCTGACTTAGGACTCCAGCATTATGATGATACTTTCAGCTAAAGTAGCATTTTTTTCTATCTTAACAGCCCCCACTTTGTCTCAGGAGGAAACAATTAGCAATTGGGTGATGCAGTCACTGCCTGACTATAAGCATCAAATGGACAACTTGCTACCTGATTCGACAAAAGTTTTCTTTGCATCACGCAAACTTAGTCCATATATTCACAAGATTCTAGAAATTCAGAAGAAAAATAAAAATAGAAGCAAAGTTAAAACCGTAAGTCATTTATTTTGGGGGAATCATCCCCAAAGAAAACGCAGAGGATACTCAGAAAAATGTTGTCTTAGAGGATGTACAAAACACGACCTTCATATTGCATGCCTCCCATATCTTAATTATAAAACCTCAAAGAGAAGACCATCAGTTGTGACTGAAATATACTAATTATAAGGATTATTCTAACTTAATAAAAACATTTTACACTTTGTGGGTAAGTGTCTTTGTAGGTTCTCTCTTGTGATACCTGATATATGTGAAAGAACTCAGCAATGCTTCATGATGGTAACAAAAATCAGTATTTTATCGGTGACTGTTTTATATATTTATTGTTGATGAAGAAGTTACCAGATGTGACATCATTAATTTGAGAATTGCCTATTAATTATTGGTTGTCATTATGCATTTAAAACAGTTGTGGGATGTTCTGTAGGTACATCTGTATTACATACAGACTGATGTTAATGACAGTCATATTCATACCAGTATCCCAATATTTATTCCACCAAGTTAAAAGTGATTATTCTCCCATTCCCCTCACCCCATCCCGTAGGGCCCAAGAAATTTTAGAGTGGGTAAGATGTTTGCCTTGAATTGCAGCTGACTGGTTTCAGTTCCTGGCATCAACAATAATAGCCCCTGAACACAGAGCTAGGAATAAGCCCTGGGAACTACTGGGCATGATCCCTGAGTGCACAGGCCAGGAGTAAGCCCTAAGCAACTGCCGGGAATGGGCCAAAAACAAAACAAAGCAAAACAAAAAAACTAAACAAAAAGTGATTACTCCTACCATTTATTTATTATTATAATATGTGTAATTTTAACTTTTGGGGGTTTATTATGGGAACTTGCTAGTAATCTTTTGTTTCTATTGATGATTGTTCCTTTTGTGAATTTGAAGAGAGTTTCATGAATTTCTATTTTCTGGCTTGCACTCTCAGAATCACCTGGTAACGTCTTAGAAATGCTGTTCAAAGATCTCTCATAAGGCCTACTGGCTCAGAAACCCTAGATATGGGATTCAATATTTTGTGTATTTAAAGGTCTTCCAGGTCATTCTGAAGTAGATTAAGTGTCAAGAGATACTGATAATAGTCATTATATTAATATTCTTGAAATACGGTATCTCATTCACATGAAATTCTATTCATAGTATTTATATGAATATCTCAACTGCACAAAAGGAAAGTTTTAAACTATAGTACACACAAATTTATAATAAAAAATCTAATTAAGGAGATCATTTCAATACTTATTTTGAAAAAGAAGCTATAAAGATTTCATATGCTGCTTATTCACTAATGGTAAAAAGTAGGAATTCCAGGTGCTGAGTAGAAAGTTTAAAGCTTTCTTAACTTGCACACAACTAACCTGGTTTAATCCAGGTACCATATACTGTCCTCACTGCACTGCCAAGAATCACTTCTGAGCACATAGCCAGGAGTAAGCTCTGAGCACTATCCCTCTGAAATAAAAAGTCCCAGAGCATACATCTCTATATACTTTAATAATCTGTGTTAGGGTTTTTTTTAATTTGCTTTATGGTCTAGAGCAATAGTATAGCAGACAGGACACTTGCCTTACATGTGACCCATCAAGGTTCCATCCCTGGTACCACATATGGTTCCCTAGAGCCCTGGGGGATGATCTCTGAGTGCACAGCCAGGGGAATCCCTCAGAACCATTGGGTATGACCCCCAAACAGAAAACATTTTGGGCCGGAGCGATAGTAGAGCGGGTAGGGACATTTGCCTTACATATGGCTGACCCAGGTTCAATCCCCGGCATCCCATATAGTCTCCCAAGCACTGCCAGGAGTAACTCCTGAGTGCAGAGCCAGGAGGAACCCCTGAGCACTGAGCATTGCTGGGAGAGACCCAAGAAGCAAAAGAAAAAAAAAAGAAAAAAGAAAAATTACCCATAAAACATTTTTTGTGGTTTAGTATCTGTTTTAAGTATAATTATCTTAATAATAGGCAAACACTTTTTTTTTAATCACAATCAACAGGTTTATTTATTAGCAGTGCTTAATTCTAGAGAAGGCTAATACAAATTTTAAGTTGTCTTTTGGCATTTAGAGCACTTAATCATTTTTTCATCAAATTTTTATGCACCATGATTCACAAAATTATTCATAGCTGAGTATTTTTTTATTTTTTGTCTTTGTCTTTTTTTTCTCCTTTTTAATAATTTTATTTATTGAATCACCATCAGAGCAGTTACAAAGCTTTCGGGTTTAAGTCTCAGTCATACAATGAAACACCCATCCCTTCACCAGTGCCCATTTTCCACCACCAAACAGTATACCTAGCATCCCACACCCTCGACCTACCTGTGGGGCAGATGATTTCCACATTACTCTCTCTATACTTTGATTACAGTCAATATTTCGACATCAGACCCACCATTATTATTTGGAATTTTACCCAAACACTCAGATCTGCTGAAAAGGCAACAGTAGACAATTTGTTTTCTATTGCTGTTTATGAATAACATATGATGTTGCGTGGCTGCAATAGTGGCCGTGTGATTTTGGAATTCTGAGATTTTAACAATTAAATCTGGAGAAATTTCTGCCAAAACCTAGTGGGTTTCGAGATTTGTTCCTGAGTCTCTTGGATCATAGCTGTTAAGCAGCTTGATCAGGAGCCAGAGAGGCCATTTGTGGGTGGCAACTCGAGATCTCGTTGGGGCGGGGAGGAAAGGGCCGGCTTCACCCCATCCCGCGAGGCCCTGTGTGTCTTGTCACCGCAGGCCCAAACCTGACTGTCCAATGGTCTCTTGCAGACGGCGGCCACTGAGCCACCAAGGGGGAGCAGGCGGAGGGACAGCACCCTAACCCTCTATGGTGGCCCGGTGACAGTACCCTACTGCAGAGTCTGGATGTATTTCTGCCAAAAGCCGCTGGGTTTCGAGTCTCTGGGATCACGGCCATTAAGCCTTGATCAGGAGCCAGAGAGGCTGTTCGTGGGCAGCGACTCGGGGTCTCATTGGGGCGGAGAGGAAAGGGCCAGCTCCACCTGCATCCCGTAAGTCCCTGAGTGTCTCATCACTGTGGGCCCAACTTGACCGTCCAATGGCTTCTGGAGGATGGTGGCCACTGAGCTGCCAGGGGAAATAGGTCAAGGCACAAAACCTATTCCCACCTGGGGTGGCCTGGCGCCAGTAACCTACTGCAGAGACCGGATGCATTTCTGCCAAAAGCCACTAGGTTCTGAAATTTATTTCTGAGTCTCTGGAATCATGGCCATTAAGCAGCTTGATCAGGAGCCAGAGAGGTCATTTTTGGGCAGCGACTTGGGGTCTGTTGGGGTGGGGAGGGAAGGGCCAGCTCCACCCCCATCCCATGAGACCCCACGTGTCTCATCATTGCGGGTCCAAACCTGACTGTCCAATGGCCTCTGGAAGACCAAGTCACCAAGGGGGAGCAGGCAGAAGGACAACACCCTTTCCCCCCTGGGTGGTCTGGCACAGAAACCCATTGCAGGGACTGGACACATCTCTGCCAAAAGCGGCTGGGTTCCGAGATTTGTCTCTAAGTCTCTGGGATCATGGTCGTTAAGCAGTTCGATCAGGAACCAGAGAGGTCTTGCCTCCAATTATCTAGCTGAGCCAGATGTATGTGTGGGTGTGTTCTCCCACATACCTAACTTTTGGCCGTTTATTTTCTTGGTAAACTTTGTCCCAAGTTGGGATCTGGCCAAAGGTACGGCAGGAATTTTCGGGGTATCTGGAAGTCTGAAGGCACCATCAGGTTGCTGATGCACTCGCCTCACAGGTACAGATTGACCTGCTGGTAGCACTATACCCCCTTCATAACTGAGTTTTAGACTGCAGTGTTGCAGCATTGATCCCACCCACCTGTGTCAATCTCCTTCCACCAAAATTTCCAGGTTCCCTCCCATATACCCTTATTTCTAGCCTGCTCTCATGACAAGCACCTTCTTAATTTTAATTATTTTAAAAATTAAGATTAATTAAATTAATTAAAATTAATTTAATTAAAATCAATTACTTTTAGTTGATTTTAATTAATATTAATTTGGTTGTTAAAATTTGGGTTTCTTGATTTCCGTGTTGACTCTGTGGTTGAGATATTTGACTATCATTCCTTGACACCACTTTTGTACTGAATCTCTGACCTGGCCCACATTTCTTCTCATCTGTCTCTTCTCTTTCCTCCCCTCTACTCTTTCTTTCTTTTTCCTCCCTATACTCTGGAACCAAGGTTGATTAGAGCATCCCTATTTAAAACATTGCATTCCCCCATGCAGTTATTCTAAATACTACATATTAGTGGTATCATCCTGTGTTTATCCTTCTTTTGGCTTATTTAACATGATGTCTTCTAATTCCATCTACGTTGCAGCAAATTGCATGATTTCATCATTCCTTACAGCCGTGTAGTATTTCATTATATATATATAGATAGATAGACATGCACACACACACATATATATATGTACACCACATCTTTATGAATCATTTATATGTTGTTGAACATGTAGGTTAATTCTAAATCTTAGCTATTGTACTGGGTCCTGCAATAAATAATGGTAAGCATATGTTCTATTGAATAATTGTTTTTCTGTCCTGGGGATAGATACCAGAAATGGAATTGCTGAGTCATACGGGAGCTCAATTTTGAGCTTTCTAAGTACTTTTCATTCTGTTTTCCATAAGGGTTTGACCTGACAGCATTTCCACCAGCAGTGGATGAGGATTTCTTTTTCACTACGTCCCTGCCAACAGAGATTTTTCCCCCTAGTATTTTTGATATCTGCCATTCTCGCTGGTGGAAGATAATATCTCAGAGTCTTGATTTGGATTTCCCTATAAATATGTGATGATGAGCATTTTTTATGTGCCTGTGGCCATTAATTGGTCTTCCCAGAGAACTGTTTGTTCATTTCCTCTCTCCATTTTTTGATGGGGCTTTTAGATCTTTTTGGTTGATTTTTGTGCTTTATAGATCCTAGATTGTGATGAGTGCAAATATTTTTCCCATTCAGCTATCATTTAGTTTTAGCCCATGTTTCTTTAGCCATACAGAAACTTAAAAGTTTGATGTCCCATTTGTTTAGTTTTGATTCTGTAACCTTTGTCAATGGCACCATATCCTTGAAAACTTCTTTAATGTCTAGATCTTGCATTCTTCCTATATTTTC